CTCAGAGGGAGTCCTGTCTAACATTCTCGTAGCTTCTTCTCTACTAAGCTATCAGAGAAAATAGTAGGCACTGTGCCCCCTGGACCAGCAGTGTCTGCAGCACTTGGGAACTTGCTAGAAATTGGAATTCTCAAGGTTTAAGCCTAAACTATGCACTCAGAAACTGGAGGAGACACCTCAGTAGCTCCTTTGCAGCTTTCCGGAAAATTCTAATGCATCATCAGATTCTAAGACCACTGACTCTTGACCCTGGCTTCACATTTGTATCACCTGGAGAAGTTCTTTTAAAAAACGGAAACCAGGGTTCGATCCTCCAAGATTCTGACTGAACAGGCATGGGTGAGGCCACGGTGTTGATTGGTGCTCAAAGTTTCCAGATGATTCTAAGCACAATTGGGTTAAGAGTTTGGCCCAGACTGTGGTTTCTCTTTCCCTTCTTTCCTTCCTTCCTTCCATAATTAGTGTATATTTTTTGTAAAAACTAATACATGTATGCAATGTATTTTATCATTTCCCTACCTTCTCTTGTTCCCTGTCTCCCTCCCTCTATCCCTTCCCAAATAGATACCCTCTACTTTGAGGTCCTTTAAAAAAAAGAAAGTCTAGAGTATACGTAAAAGAGAAAGTATGCAACATTTTTCTTTCTGAGTCTGGCTTATGACTTGAATAATTTTGTTCTTTATGGCTGAATAAGGCCCCATTGTTTTATATAACACACTTTCTTTAACTACTCATCTACTGATTGGAATCTAGGCTGACTCCACACCTTGGTTGTTGTGAAAGTGCACATGAATGTCCCATTGCTGTGAGAGTGCACATGAATGTCCCATTATGTCTGTGATATGCTGACTTGGATGCTTTTAGCTGTATACACAGGAGTGGTAGAGTAGAACCCCACACTAACTCTATTTTCAGTTGTTTTAGTAACCTCTACACTGATTTCCAGAATGGTTGGTCTGGTGTATGTCATTACCAACAGTGCATAAGGCTTCCTTTCGCTCACATCCTCACCAGCATTTGTTGTTGTTTGTTTTCTTGATGAGATCTAGATTCTGAATTCTCCTGGGGATGGCAACAACCTCAGAAACAGACGCTTGGTTTCCAGTCTTTTCTGGTCTGTCCTTCACCATCTTCACTCCTCACCCACCATGCAAGGGATTACTCAGACCCAATAGTTCTCAGACTCTAACACCCATGCAAATCACTGCAGAGCTTGTTAAAACTGGGTTACTGGACCTTGACACAGACCTAACTGAAAAGTCTGGAGCAGTCTGAGAATTTTCCTTTATAAGATGATGCCATGTGGAATATTCCTTTACCCTGTGTGAATGTGTCACCGTGATTGGGTTAATAAAGAAGCTGACTGGCCAATAGCTGGACAAGTAGAGGTTAGGTGAGACTTGCAGACGAAAGAGAGCACGGTGAAGAAGGGGAGGAGTCCCCTGAGTGAAATGACAAACTCTGGATATCCCCTATGTGGAAGGAAGTGGGGATAGGGTGGGAGGCTGGGGGGATGGTGGGGAGGATGCAGGAGGAGGGGTGAGAGAGGGAACTGGGATTGACATGTGAAGCAAGCTATTTAAAATTAAAGTAATAAAAAAAGTTTAAAAAAAAAGGAGAGGAGTCTCAGAGAATCAAGAGGAGATACAGAGAGATTAACTTGCTGTACTAAGAAAAGTTACCAAGTCACATGGAAGAGTGTAAAAATATGGGTTAATCTAAAACGTAAGAGTTAGCTAGTAACAAGCCTGAGCTATTGTCCGTGAATTCATAATTAATAATAAGTCTCAGTCTGGTTATTTGTGGGGGGTTTTTGGTTTGGTTTTTTGGGGGGGTTGGGTTTTTGTTTGTTTTAGTTTTTCGAGACAGGCTTTCTCTGTGTAACAATCCTGGCTGTCCTGGAACTCATTCTGTAGACCTGGATGGCCTTGAACTCACAGAGATCCACCTGTTTCTGCCTCCTGAGTGCTGGGATTAAAGGGGTGCACCACCGCCACCCAGCTCAATGTGGTTATTTGGGAGTAGCTGCTGAGACACAGAGAAACTCTGCCTGCAATGCCACAGGTGCTGAGGCTTCTAACCCATGGTGTTCTAGCCATGCTGTCTCGGTGAGCAGAGGAAACAATCATAGCAATGAACTTGGCCTTCCAGGGCCTCCAACTTCTGGTTTGTGGTGTTCCCTGCTGGTGACAGAAGCACTATAGGGTCAGAGTTGAAAGTGTGGCTTCAGAGTACTGATTACAGCCTAATGAACTCTCTGTGCTTCAGTGTAGTACTCATGAAAAGTGGGGTGACACAGGACTTCCCTGGTGGGGACTCTGAGAGGATGAGGTAAAATGATATAGCAGCATGAATAAAAGTGCCTAGAAAAATGGATCAAAAGCACTCACAATTAGATACAAACATAAAGAGTTATTACAAATATAAGCAATCGCAGCAGTCATAAGTGCAGAGAAAAACAGCTATAATTTTCAGTGCCCTCCTTTCTTTAGACACTACTGCCTAGCGTCCGTGCAGTTAGATGGATGAAAATGAAATACACTTTGTTGTTCACACTCAGTATCACTTGTCCCTTTTCTCCTCAAAGAAATGAAAAACAACAGAAGAGTTATCCATGGACCACTGTGAGTCTGATAAAGGATGCTCCTAGACATGCCCTAGAACCACAGCATCTCCTGGAGGTAAATGAACACAACCCTAAACAGGCTGAAAGAACTGCGGGTCAGCCCTCAAGTCCAGCACTATTGTTGGTCTTTTATTCTTTCCTCTTACTCTTTGGGAGCCCGACACCCAGTACCCAAATAAATGGCACACAGAGGCTTATTCTTAATTATAAGCACCTGACCTCAGCTTTGCTTGTTTCTAGCCAGCTTTTATTAACTTAAATTATCCAACTACCTTTTGTCTCTGACTTTTCCTTTCCTTATTTCTGCACATCTTACTTTCACTTTTACTCCATGGCTGGCTGGGTAGCTGGATGGTTTGGTGGCTGGGTGGCTGGGTGGCTGGGTGGCTGGGTGGCTGGGAGGCTGGGAGGCTGGCCCCTGGCATCCTCCTCTCCTTTTTCTCTCATTTCTCCTCCATCCTCATCCTAGATTTCTCCTCCTACTTATTCTCTCTGCCTGCCAGCCCCACCTATCCTTTCTCCTACCTCGTTATTGGCCATTCAGCTCTTTATTTGTCCATCAGGTATTTTAGACAGGCAAGGTAACACAGCTTCACAGAGTTAAACAAATGTAACATAAAAAAATGCAACACATCTTTGCATTATTAAAACAAATGTTCTACAGCATAAACAAATGTAACACACCTTAAAATAATTTTCCATGACACAGTACAATTGAATCAGGAAGCATTAAACTATTTCTTGGTTTGTCACCACCCTCAAAATAGAAAGCAAATTGTTTATCGTGGATTAATGGCTTAAGTCCCGTTTCAGTTTTTTATTCCATAATGAACCACTTACATTTTTTCCAAAATCACCCTGTCCTGTAAAATCACAGTGCCTCCAGCCATGATGCGTTCTCTACCTGGGCGCCTTTCCTCCTACTTAAATCCACACTCAATAAGATTGTGTTTATTTTTAAGATTAGCTCAGTCACGTCTGTCTTTGAACCCCCTGTCCCCACATCCCCAAGGAAACTTTGTCATTCTTTCTATGTTTCATCTTTGCGCCATGTAACCCACTAGTGTGATGGTGAGGGCCAAGTCCCAATGACCATCGACAGCCTCTCTCTACCACAGTACTGAGAGCCGTGCCAAAGCTGGGCCCTGAAGTGGAGCACAGTGCCTAATCTATCAAGGCCAACGCTCCATGGCTAAGTAAACCAGTGAAGGACAGAGGAGGAAGACATGTCCCATGGGCTGAGAATCTGTGAACTAAAGCCAATTCCTGGAGAACCAGGAAGAACCAGGACAGATGAGAACCAGGGCATGGTACAAGAGATGAAAGACGTGGTCATGACAGCTGGTTCAGAAGCCAGCACGGGCATGGGCTTTAGAGCTGGTGGGTGTAGATCACAAGAAAGCCTGGCTGCCTGTATTAGTCAAGTGACAGTTCTCAAAACATTTTGATCTCAGAACTTCTTTAAGCCCTTAAAAATGAATAATAACCCCAAAGTTGTTTTATGCATATGACCTACAACTTCCCATATTTAGTATATGAAGTTGGAATGGAAATAATTTAATTATTGCTTCACTAATTTTAAGATAGCATGGAGCTTGGGAGTGACTCAGTCACTAAAGTGCTTGCTGCACAAGCCTGAGGACCTGAGTTTGAATCCCCAGCATCCACATTAAAAACTGAACATGTGCCTCCAATGGTGTGGCAGAGACAGGAAGGTTCCTGGGGCTCCAGCTGGCTAGCCTAGTTTACTTGGTGAGCTTCAGAGCAATGAGAGACCTTGTCTCAAAAATTAAGATAGACAACTATTGAGGAAGACACCCAGCATTGGCCTCCAGTCTCCACATGCATGCATGCAGATGTGCACACATACACATATGTGCACATGTGCATGTGAAGATGTATACACATGTATGAACAGTGATAATGAAATAATAATAAAACAAAAAAGTATATGAAATAATTACCTTCAAAGACACTTTTATTGAGAGGTGTCACACTGTTTTGTACCTCTACAAAACTTTTGAATGCCTGGCTTCAAAATGGCTGTATCTGTGTATGTACTTTTGTAGTTAGTCTCCTACAGTGTGACTGAGTGGTTGTATCATCTCTGGAAATCTTAACTATTCACTGATAAATAAATGAGAGTAATGGGGAAAACAAAGTTCTGGCTCCATAGGCTCTGTGAAAATGTGTCAGAGATCCCCAGGGGTGGATCACACTTTGCAAACTGATGGGTTAGAATACAAGTCATCTGTAGTCACAGAGACAGAAATGGCAGTGTCTTGAATAAGATGAAAGTCTATTTCTCTCTTCATGATTTCCAGAAGTAAGGGCACCCCTCAGTCCCATCCTTATGTTATTCTTTCCAGTTATTCTGTCATCCTAGTACACACGGTCCAAAATGACAACATGACTCAAAGCTACCTCTGCATCCCAGGCAACAAGAAGGAGAGAGCTCCTCCCTGAGGGGGGATCTTGGGCAAGTCAGAACTTACCTCACCAGTTCCCAAGAGGCCAGAGGAACCAGTCCTGGCAAGGAGTGAGGCTCGTGCATAGCAAGGTATGTTTCCTGTGTGTAGAAAACAAGACAAGTGGCAGCTCACATAAAGAGACACAGACAAGAACTGAAAGCAGCCACAATTGAAGCATATCATTTCAGAGGAAAAGTGCCAGACACCAACCAAAGCAATGCTCTGATTAGGATAAAGGCCAAAACCTCCCAATATAACTCATGCAGATGCATAATCTCAAGCTTACCCTCACTGAGTCCTTAGTCCCAGATACACCTTACGCCAGAGTCTCTTCTCACAGTTCTCGTTCTAGCCACACTCTGCTCTTCAGAGTCTTTGTATAGGCTGCTGTATCTCCTAGAACTCTCTTCCCCCACCACTGTTGACCTATGCATTCTCATGTTCCAGGTATGTGGAGTAAATGAAGACCAGACAAAGGAGAACAACATTCATTTTTTTTCTCAACCTGTTATATAGCAAGGCAGCTACCCACCACTGCTTAGTTCTGGTAGAGACAGGCAGAGAGGAAGGAGGCTTTACAGCACCAAGTAACATGCTACGCATACAGTAAGAGCTCAGCTTTTAAAAAACAAGTATTACATGGATGGGAGGATGGGCAGATGACAGGTTGCAAATATTGGATATTTGCGAGCTGAGGGCTATGTTCTCCTGCTTTTCAACTAAAACATTTCTGCAAAGAGTAGCTAAGGGCTTCGTTCTGTATTGGTTCTTCCTGCTGAGCCTGTATAGCATTCTAGGAGAGCCACCCACCAGGAAAAATAAGGTTCTTCTCTAGCTAGAGACAACAGAGGTGTGAGCTGTTTCAAGTTCAGTCAATTCTCTACCCACAGGTCCAGCCTGTCTGGGATTTGACATCTGCCTCAGAGTGTCATCCTGAGGTCCATTTTCTCCTAAACATGAATCACTGACAGCATCCTACAAAATATTCCACCGGGCTCTGGTGCTGCCCGTTTTCAGAAGATTGCTTGTGCTCAAGTTCTGGCATAAACCTGCCAGCTGTAACATATCTTGCGGGTCTGACCCAATGATGACCCACAGTACTCTATGTCTGGGCTGTTTTCTTTTATTTTCCATCCTCTGAAGATTGTCAGAATTCTGCCTGGCTAAGCAATAAATCCATCTTTTCAGGGATCAATTGTGGTGACTGGCTGCACAACCTGGAAATCCAATTAACTGCGAAATAAATTTAAAAAATGAAAAATCCACCGAAGCTATGGCATAAGTCAGCTAGGAAATGTTCTGGACATTAAAATGAACAAGAAAAAACTTCAACTTCATTTGTCTTTTCTTTTTCAAAAAAAATCTTGTTATTGATAAATTTAGCCTTGGTTCCAATTTTGTCTTAGCCACAATTTGCTCAAATACAGATCTGTTGGGATGGCTAGCACCACACTAATTATACCCCACAGGCTCTCTCCAGAGAGAAGCCAACTCGGCTAGGATTACCTTGCTACCATATGTATAACTTTAGGCCCTCTCTCCCTTCATCTTTTTACACCACATGTGTTCTTAAAGGGACATAAATCTGCTCAAACGTTATGTGGGAAATATGAGTTATTTTGGCTTACTGGGACATTTTGAAAAGGACAGGGTTTTCATCAAATGCATCAGTTGGCTGTCTAGAAGGCCTTATACCTCATTGCTACTGAGGTCTGCCAATCTGGAAGCATCACAAATTGAGCCAATGGACATGGGTCAGCCTTCCTGATGTTGAGGCTATATCTAGAAACTCATAGTAGTGAACTACACACCCAGCTGCACCCCAGCATCTTATCAGTGTCCTGGGAAGGACCCTCGCAGACAGGCAACCTGAAGTTGAAAGAATGAGCCTGAGAAGGTACTAGAGGAAATGTCTACTTAAGCTCCCACCGGTAACAGGACACATTCATTTCCTGTGGGTGTAGTAGGGAGGATAACAAAGGATTTGAGAGGCTTATTCATCTATGATAGACTAGGACAACATAGCAGTAGGCAGGACTCACAGTTGGGGTTCAGATTGGGGTTAGGACTCCTTTGGCCTCAATCTTGAGCTAGATCTCAGCTTCTTTAAAAAGAAAATGAGCAACAAAGATAAAAGCTTCCTTCAGGACCCAGTGCCTCCAAGGCCAGCCTTGGCAAACAAAGAGAATTTTTATTATTATTCAAAAGATTCATGAGGCCAGGAAAATGGTTCGGTGGTTAAACAAGCTTACTGCACAAGCCTGACAACCTGAATTCAGAAGCCCAGAATGCACAAGCCAGATGTGGTAACACTCATCTGTAACTCCAACGTATCTAAGGCAAGATGGAAAGCAGAGACATAAAAATCTCCAAAGACTCCTAAAAGTTGACCTCTGACCTCCACATGCATTCTATAGCCCAGGTACACACACACACACACGTACACACAGCACACACATGTACACCACAACGCATGTGCGAACACACACACAACATACACACAAGTACATACACATACATATACACACATACACACACATACACACACAGCACACACATGTACACACGCATGCGCTCAGGCATACGACATATGAAGAATTTTCTTGCTTTGATGAACTCTAGCTTTTCTATTCTTCCTTTCTTCCTGAGATCCTGCTCTGGTCAGTACTGAATTTCCCAACCCTGGTCATGACCATCACACAGACAACAGAAGTTAGTCAGCCGATGCCACCAGGGGAAATAAGAAAACCAGAAGGTCAGTGTTTATTGATATTTCTTATCAATAAAAGGAAATGATGCAATGTTATTTAAAACATGATTCTTTGCATCCTATCTCTAAATGTTCCTTGACTAAAAGATGAGATCAACAAATATGAGAAGCTTTTCTCAGCTATCAAAATAGGCCCATGTGGAATGTTAAGTTTAAATCACAAATCATCCACTGTCATAATGATTTGGTTTTTCTTTGCTTTTGAAATTTATTTTTAAATATCTGCGTACACAGAAACAAAGCCAAAAATGACACTGGGAAGTGTAACCATTGGGGCAGGATCATTAGTAACTACAGGATCTATGATTATAACCTAAGTTTGATGTCATGGGAAATAGAAAATACCAGGCTTAGTGTATCTCCTATTCAAGGAAATTACTAGGAAACAGCCCAGGTCTAACAAATAAATAAATTCACCTTGTTAGTCTTCAGGCCAGAAGCCACATTATTTATTCAGTCACTTATTCAACAGATAGTTCTTAGGTAGTAAGTCTATTCGAAGCACTGTGTGTGTAGCGTTATGAAGAAACCTGCCCTCTTTGAGTCTGTATAAGACGATGCTTGCTTCCACAGGTCATGGATACAATGGGCTGATTCCTTGGGAAGCAATAGGTTATTCAGCATAGTGTAGACACACATCTTGTTAACCTGTGGCTGTGTCTTTTCATTTTCATCTAGCGGTGTTGGCATCAAGAAGGCAGCAGATGCCTGAGGCTCTTATCTTTCCAATCCCTCTTTCTTCTCCAAGGCAGGTAGTTACAAGTACCAAATAAGTTTCTATTCTCACTGTGGGGTTTTTGGTTTAAAACTGTTTATTGATCAATAAAAAAGTAGGAAATCACAAAGTCATTGCCTGGGGAAGCTGTACTAGTAATTTTACAGCAGGCTAGATAGTAAGGAAAGATTACAAATGTTAGCAGGCAGGAGACCCAGCTCTTGCAGAAGACAAGTCAATCCGGACAGAAATCCAACCCACATCACTGACCTTAGAGCCTGTACAAAGTCAGTGCCTGCAAAAGGCCAATGTCTGTACATGGCCAATGCCTGTACATGGTGAGTGGCTGTACAGGTCAATGCCTGAACAAGGTCAATGCTTGCACAGGTCAATGCCTGCAGAAGGTCAACAGCACAATGAGTGTATCGCAGTGTTTCTGGTCCCAGTCTGTTTACTAGCTCTAGAAAGAAGTGGACAGGTGTCAGATGTACTTCCATACGTTTAAAAGTAATAAAACTGTAAGCAACAGACCCAATTCCTTAAAGGAATGCAAAGGAGGATGTACACAGGATTTAGAATAACATTTTGAAGTAGATTTTGAAGTTGGTTTTTAAAATAGTACAATCACTAGGATATATCGTTGCCACTGTAACTGTTTATATTAATAACCCTGACTCACCCATGTTTGTACGCTCAGAGACATAAGTGTATACTGACAACATCCATTCATTCTTTTCAGCCATCCTTTTTTTTTCCAATCTGCTCACCAGGACCACTGTGGGTGTGAGCACCCAGAGAACGGTCACTGCCTTTGTCTTTATTTCTTTTTCTTTCTTTTTTTTTTTTTTTTTTTTTTTTTTTTGGTTTTACGAGACAGGGTTTCTCTGTATTATTTTGGAGGCTGTCGGTCCAGCCTAGCCTCGAACTCACAGAGATCCGCCTGCCTCTGCCTCCCGAGTGCTGGGATTAAAGGTGTATGCCACCACCTCCCGGCTTGTCTTTATTTCTATCAATGACCTTAACCTCATGGAAGAGCATTCATTCCAATGCACCCATTCACCCATTCACTTAGCTTTGTTTTCCTTAAACTTCTCTACATCCATAAGCCAGACCTAAAATAACTGAGACAAATATTTCCAGTACCCTCTCCTGTCTACATGTACTGTTACCTACCTCTTTTTTCACTATGGCTTTGTTAGGAGATATGTTCTGCTCCTAAACAATCGTCTAACCATATATTCTGATATAAAGGTTACCAAAGATGGACCTAAAGAGATGACTCTTTAAGTGTTAAGAGCACTGACTACTCTTCCAGGGGATGCAGATTTGATTCCCAGCACCATGTGGTGACTCACAACCATCTGTAACTCCAGTTACAGGGGATCCAATGCTCTCTTCTGACCTCCACAGGCACCAAGCATACACATGGTGCACAGACATACATGCAGGTAAAACACCCACACACATAAAACAGAATCATATTTTTTAATTTTTAAATAAGATTTGTGAAAAATGTCATTGCTGTGTGGATATAATGCATCCTTACCCACATTATGAGCTTTTGTAGTCACTGTGCTTTATCAGAACCTTAATGATCTGACTCAGAGTATTTT